TTCCCCCCCACACACACTCACACTCGCACCATCACACACACACACTCTCTCTCTGTCTCTCTCTGTACAGACTCTGCACACCGCAAACGCTTATCTCTCCCGAGTTTACCGCCAATCATGCACAGGCTATGTTTTCCTACGAAGAATCGCCAACCTATGATGATGAGTCGGTCCATGCGACGTGGGCTGCCCAGCGCGAGGCCGAGACCAAGTCTGCGCCCTCGCTGGACCACATCAAGGGCGAGCACAATCTTCGTGTATTGAGTGGAAGATGCGACAATGTCGACGAGCTCTACTCTTGGGTCCGCAGCACCGTCGCTGCGGCGTTTGCCCACTGCGCTGCCGACGACGTGAACAAGCTTGCCACAGGCATGGTCGCCCGTCGCTCGGCCGTTCTCGCCGCTGCCCAACACGCGCTCATCAACTACATCCGCCAGAACTGTCTCTGGGGCGCACACATCGAGCGGCCGGTCCTCTCATGCCCGCTTGGCGGCGAGCCGCTGCCGCTTGCCCTCGTCAGCGACGAGACCAACGCCATCACCGCCCTCGCTCTTGCTGTCGACGACACCGTCCGCCTTGACACCGTCGCCCGGACCCTCGCTTATCTCGACGCGGTTGTCGACACCAGCTTCGAGGTCTTCCGTCTTGACATCGGCCGCCCGACCTCGTCAAACGTTTACAAGTACGAGATCTCGTCGCGCGTTGTTGTAGCTACCTTTTCCATCATCGAGCGCTGGATCGCCCACGAGTCGCAGCCTGGCGTCTTTGAGCCGTCGCGGGTGGCAGCTTCTGCCCACCCTCGCTCCTTGCCCGCATTGTCCTCCACTTTGTCCGCCTCGCCCTCGACTCCCGTCACGTCTCGCTCCTTGCCCGTGTCGTCCTCGTCCTCCGCACCCCCCAGCTCGCCGCGCTCATTGACCCGGTCATTGCAAGCGCCTCCGACGACCTGGCCGCTCTTGTCAACGGCCTTTTCAACCCGCCGCACCGCGACGCCCCAATCCGCTTTCCCACAAAGGGCACTTCGGATCCGCTCCTCTGCTGGACCCACTGCTGGCTCAACGCCACCGTACCGGCCTGGTCGTTGCAGGACCCGGCAGTGGCAGAGCTCGAGGTCCCTTACTCGGCCGACCCGCTCCCGCTCGTCGCCCCCTTTCCCCAGCCCGGCGTCGACCCCTTGCCCACCTTTTCGCCGCCGACCAACCAGGCTCGATTCGGCGCCGCAACCGCGCCGCCCGTCCACGAGTTTGCCTCCCGGCCCTCGACCGCCTGCACCGCCGCCGGCTTCCTCTACACCCACTCGCATCAGGGCCTGAGCAAGATCGGCACCGGCCACCACGGTACAGAGCTCATGCGTCTCTACGCCTCCAACCTCCACTTTAAGCTCGCCGAGCGTGGCTCGCTCGTCGCTGCCGGCGACTGGCTCCTCTACCGCTCGCCATCCATCGCCCCGGCTCTGTTCTGGGTCATCAGCCCGCGCTCGCTCCGCGTCGTAGGCCGTGTCTTGCCGGACGGCTCGGGCTCGTTTGCTACCGCAAACCTCTCCGCCGTCCTCAGCCCTGACGCGCCCGACGCCCGCTCCCCAGTCGCCGCCTGTGGAAACGTTGTTGTTGTCCTCCACGCTGCGCACGATAACCCTGCCGCACTCGCAGTCACACGCCTCGACATGGCCTCCTCGCCTCCGCTGGCCCACATCGACACCCGGCTGCTCTCGGGCTCCCCGCCCGCGTCGGCGCTCTCTGCACCTCGGTCCGGGCCTGCTCTGCCGCCGTCCCGCACATGCTCCTCGTCGACGAGGCTCATCCCATTCAGACCCATGGCCTCCTCACTACCTGGCATGCCTCAGTGGTCGGCGACTCGCCCGATGCCGCCCTCGACGATCCACTCACGTTCCTAGTCCTCCGCAAGGTCGGCGAGCACTTTGTCGTCAAGTCCGTCACCCGCACACCTCCACCACGCTCCTGGGCTTCCGCCACCGATGCCCGACACGAGTGCAACTCGCCCGTCATCGTCGCTCCGGGCGACTACATCGGCGTCGTCATTCCCAAGGGCGATTCTATCCAGCACGACGACCTCTCCGCAGACGGCTCCATCGTTTACACCACCGCGGTCCCCAAAGACCTCGCCCTCGGCACCTGCATCCATCTCACCCTCCGACGCTCCATGTCCTTCTCTTTTGCAGCCTCTATTGTGCCGTCGCCCGACAAACCGCTGCCAGCCATCGACTCGCCGCTCGACGCCTCGGTTCTCGCCCTCTGCGGCCTCTACACCAACGGCGACGAGCTTGCCATCATGCTCCCACCCGCCGAGGCCTCGCCGCCGCCCAAGGGTACATCGCCGCACGTGTGTGTCGGTTATGTCTTTTCGCTCGCCACAGCCTCCGAGTCACGCCACTTTGTCCTCGGCTCGCCCGTCGAGTTCCCGGCTGTCGCCTACGACCCCGTCGATGACATCCTCTTCTCGTGCTTTCTCTGCAACGGTTCTGTCAACGCATGGGGCAACCAGGCACACCTGCTGCCACGCCACCTGGCACCGCCCCAGCCGGCCATCCCCTGCCTCGACTCCACCGCCGCCCTCGCTTCGTCGCTCATCCGTGCCATCGGCTGGCGCTCGCGTGTCCTCCGCCGAACACGCTCCCGCGACCGCTCAGGTCCCATTGTGCTCGCTTGCGCCCGCGAGCTCTCGCGCGATGCCATCAACGCCCTCCTCGACCTCGCGTCCACTGCTGCTGACCCCACAGATCTTGCTGCCGCGCTCGCCGCTCTCGCCGACAACATCTCGTTTGCCGCAGACGGCCATCTCATCGACTGGGCCGTTCTTCTCGGCCCAAACTTCGATGTCATCGCCGACGCTGCCCGTGCCCTCTTTTGCGCCCCGGGTGCCCCGGTCACTCGCGACATCCTCGCCGATGCACTGCCGCTCCTCTGTCACACGCCCGCCCTTGCCGCCGACCTCGTCTGCGACGCGCTCGCCGCCGACCCGGCCTCGCCAATCATCGATGCCTTTGCATCGCTCTCCCGCACCACTCTCCTCACAGGCCCGATCCTCGATATGTCTCGTCCGGCGCTCATGCGTGCCCTCCGCGCCCTCGTCGACGCTGCTGTGCTTCCCCACGCCCCGCCTGGTCCGGCCCGCCTCCTCGCCCAGCTCTCAGCCACACTGTATGCTCTTGGCGCCGACCATGTCGTCCACAACACCCTTGATGCCAACTCGCGGACTGCGTCGCAGGAGGCCGCCGACACTTCCCGCCTTGTTGACCTCCTCAACTGGATCCTGCCGGGCTACATCACCCCGCTCATGAGTGCCATCGCTGCCTTGTCGCCATCCGCCATCGATCTCTCGCCGACCTCGCTCGCCGCCACTCTCGCCTTTCCCGCCATCGCTTCTCTCACCGCCCTTCTCGAGCACGGGGAAGCCGAGCTCGCTGTCGCCTCTGCCGGCGACGCCCTTGCCTCGCTTGCCACCGCTCTCGGTGGGCTGCTTGACTCTGCCCGCGCCTCGCTCGCTGCCCAAGGCATACCGCTTGACATCGGCATCTTGCCCGATACACCCTGCCGCGCCCGCCGCCGCGTCATCGAGTCCAAGCATCCGTACCTCCGCGTCGAGTCTCGTATGGTCATCGACCAAGCGCCTGCTGAGCGCATGACCATCGAGTTTGATTCTGCCTCTGCCCTCGACTCGGGCGACGAGCTGCAGATCTTCACCCGCGATCACAAGACGAAGAATTTTGACGTACTTGTCTCCTCTTTTAATGCAGACATGTCGCCGCCGGTCCCGTTCGTTGTCCCGGGCGAGGAAATGTTGCTCGTCCTCAAGACCACTGCGCCACAGCCTGACTCTGACCCGCCGTCCAAGGCCTCTAATTATGGCTTTTGCCTCGTCATCACCCCGCACGATCCGGTCGCCAACGTCCACTCAGCCCGCGAGGCAAGCATCGTCCGCGCCATTGCCCATCTCCACACTCGGCTATTGGCCACTCTCTATGCGCCGCGCGACGCGAGCTCGGCATCGCTCCGCAATCTGGCCCCCGGTGCCATCTCTTGGGCCGATGCCGCGCTCCTGCACGGCGGCTACGTTACTGAAGCCGCCTCGGATGCCGCCGACGACCTTGCCGCCCCGCTGCGCGACTCGCAGCCCTGCTCTTCCGCCGCTGACGGCTACACCCAGTTTGTTTGGGCCATTGCTCGTGGCGAGCAAGTCACAGACTCCTCCTCGCATGCTGTCGCCGCCGCTGCCCGCTTCTGGGACGCTGCTCAGCTCGCGCTCGCCTCCGCCACCTCCAGCCTCCCACTTGACCGCTTCGACCCGCACGCCATCCTCCGCCGCGCCGTCCTCGCCGCCTTTCTCAAGCACACCGCCCTTGTGGCCGAGGCCTACGCCATCGGCGCTGTCGCCGAGCCGGGCCTTGCTCCAGAGCTTCGTATGCATGCTCCCAAGGTGCGCAAGCGCAAGGTCAAACTCTCGGTCTCAGTCCCCGCCCCGGTCACGCCCGACGCTGCTTCCCAGTTTTCGCCGCAGTTGGCCGCTGTCGTCCAGGCTGCAGCCGACGTGGTAGCCTGGGCGTTTTACGAGCGCCGCTCCCGCGGCGAGGCCGCCGACGCTGACACCGTCGTCGCTGGCCTCCTTGCCAAGGCCGCGCTCCTCCTCCGCTGCAATCCATCGGTCGGTGCCGACCGCATGGCAGGCGGGCTAGGCTCATCCGCCACCAGCTCCTCGTCTGCCATTGATGTCGCCACCCCGGCTCCGGCCTCGGCCCAGCTTGCGGGCTCGTCATCTGTCAAGGCCTTCCTCAAGCAGTGGAAGGCCGCCCGAGTCTCGTCGTCGCTCCTTGCCTCAACCATGGCCGCCGACGTCGTCCTCTTCCTCAAGGCCGACATCGACGTCCCCGACCTTTGCGCACGCCTCGAGCAGCGCTCGCGGTTTGCTCGCGCCCGCGCCGTTGCTCTTGCCGAGCTCGCCCGCTATCTGAACAATTCGGGCGAGGTCGACGACCTGGCCCTTGAGGCGCTCCACGCCTTTGCCCGCGCCCTGCACCGTGCTCCGCGCGCCCAGGGCCGTCTCGGCCCGCACATGCTCGACGGCATCCGCGGCTGCTCCGCCGACGCCCTGGCCTCCGTCTGTGACTACATGTGCACCCTCCTCACCGCCCTCGTGCCCGTCGTTGCCTCAACCTCGGCTGCCGCCCTTCCGGCCATGCTCTGCTGGGCCCTGCACTTTCACAAAGCCGATCGCCCGCTCATTCTCTCGTCAGGCATTCTGCCTGCGCTGTGGCACATGGCCTCGGTAGAGGGCGAGCCGGGTCTCCCGGCTGTCGTTGCCTCCTCGCTCTTTCACACCCTATCCGCCGTCGCGCTCGGCGTCAAGCCGCAGCACACGCCAGAAGCTGCACCGCTCTCCACTACCAGTGGGGCCTCGGCTGGCCTCGCCTCGTCGTCGTCGGCGGACCCGCGCCCGGCGTTTACCCCAAGACCGCCGTGCTTGTCACTGCCTCGGCCGCGTCTTCGTACGAGAAGGACCTCTTCAGCCTTGTTCTCTCCTCGCTCGTAGGCGCGTACCAAGACTGGCGGGCCGCCCTCAAGAGCTCGCCGGCTGGAATCCCCTTCTTCCTCGAGCCTACTCCCTACAACCTGGACGAGCTCACGAGCCGGGCTCCGCCCGACGTTGATGCCGACGCCGAGGCGACATGGATGGCCGTCCACGCCGTGCCGGCCTTTGCCGCCCCGCGTGCTGGCCGCAGCGACGCTGATGCCCTGCCCGAGGGCGGCCACGCTGGCTTTGACCATGACGCCACCGCCGCCCTCGTCGCAGACTCAGACCGAAGCCTCGTTTGCCAGGCCGCCCTCGTGGTCAAAGGCCGCACCGACGCCGAGCTCGCCCCGCTCATCGACCTCATCACAGATGTCATCCTCCCAACCCGCGGCGCTCTCGCCGCCGCCGGCACTCTCGACCTTGTCGCCTCGCACGATCCGCGGGTCAAGGCTGCAGCCTCGCTCTACGCCTCGACCTCGCCGGCACTCGCCGTCGACATCCTAGTCGCGTCAGCAGACATTGTCGCTCGCGAGCGCCAGTCATCTGGAACATCCAACTCGGCCGTCTCGGCCCTCGAGGCGTTCCTGAACATGACCTTGGTCGACGGCTCGCTGGCCGGTTCAGAGAGCTCCTCGCGCAGGCGCCGCGGAGCCAAGTCGCGAACGGCCGACGACAGCATCGTCTCGCCTCGCAGATTGATGTCAGATGCGCTCGTCACCATTGGCAACAGTGTCACCACTGGCGCACCGGTTTGCGTCCAACAGGTCCGTCTCCGAGCCACCATCAACACGCTTGCCGGTCTCGCCCGCGCACCCATTGCCGCCCACTTTCTCGCCCGCTCGCCTTGGCTCGAGCTTGTGCTGGCTCTCTTCTGTGACACTGATCTGTCGCCAGCCACTCGTGCTGCCGCTCTAGCCGTCCTCCGGGCCGTCCTCATCTCCACAAGCCCGGCCATGCTCGTCGACGATGTCCCGTCCGCATCGGCAGCTGTCGCACGTGCCGCCGTTGTCCTTGGCTCACCCGATGCGAGCCTCTCGCCGGTCGACCCGGAGCCACAGACGCACACCAGTCACGTCACTGTCTGTGAGCTGCTCTTGCGGACCGCCTCGACGCTGGCAAGCGGTCGTGACACCTCGTCGATCACCGCCGCTGGTCTGCTCGAGCCGCTCCTGGTTGTCCTCCGCGAATTTGCCGCCGCCAGCCCAGAGTGGTGCGAGCACATTGTGCGCCAGCTCCGCGAGTCGAGCTCGAACCCGCTCGTTATGCTCTATCTCCTCGCCCACGCCCCGCCGTCACTCGCTATTGGCGCTCGGGTCTTTGTTGCCCCGCCGCACGTCATCTCGGGCATCGTTGTCGCCTTTGGCTACAATCATGAGCTCCTCGTTTGGTCACCGGCGCCCAACGACGACCAGCCGAACGCCTGGTGGGTGCCCATCGATCTCGTGACCCCAGAGCCACCGCTCCGCAGCTGTTCACCCGGTTCGGCTGCCCTTGCCCTTGCACTGTGGAACGATCCCGAGGTGGTCCAGATCGTGACTGCCCTTGCCCTCGCGCCGCCGACCCCGGTGCTGGCTGACATGGAGCGCCGCCGCGCCGCCGTCGCCGCCGTCGCCAACCTGGTCAGCCTCGGTGCCGAGGCTCCCGACCTGGCGCTGCCGGCCCTGCAAACCCTCCTGCGCGTCGCCCTGATTCCGATGCCGCTCACCCGCGTCTACACCGCTGCTGAGCTTACCCAGGCTGCTACCGCCCAGCTCTGGGCTGCGCGTCACGCCGCCGTCAATGCACCGACGCTCCTTGGGCTCAAGATTGACGGCAGCCCGGCTCAGCTCACGGTCCGCGGCGTCGCATGCCCCACAGCAATGTTCCGCAACGGCCACTGCCTCACTCCGCCCACTCCCAGCGATCTGGAGCTCTTTCGGTCCGCGCTCACGTCGTGCTCTCTCGTCAGCTCGGTCGCACCAACCGTGCCAAGTCCAGGGCACAGTGCCATTGTCCTTGCGCCACAGGCTGACAACAAGGTCGCGTGGGCCTCGCTCGCAACTATGCTACAAGCCATGGCTCGCCGCCAGCCGTGCGCTATCGTCGTCCTTGTCTTTGCAAGCAGCAATCGCCCCCGCTCGCCGCCACCTCTCCTCCGCCCGACTCTGCTTTCCTGCAGCTTGGTATCCCGCTCGTAGTCGCTACCATCACCTCGCACGGGCCACAGGTCGTCGCCGCCACCCTCGAGCGTGTTCTCCGTCTCCACCAGGCGCCGCCCCTTTCGCTCCACACCCTGCCTCCCTCGGCCTCTGTCGACAAGGGCAAGGCCGAGGCTGGGGACGCCGAACCAGTCGAAGTCGCTCCCTTCCCGTCCGCCCCAGAGGCCAGGAATGGTCTCCTTGCGAGCGAGCTCGCATCGCTCGCGTTCTTTGACCCCAATCTTGCGTATGGCTCCAACCAGCAGTCAGCAGCTGTCCTGGGGGCGGGCCATGTGCCGGGGTCTGGTGTGTTGGACGCGATGTCGTCGGCCAGTAAGTCGGACCTGTTCGCCCTCGCCTCTGGGGCTGCTGATAATGTGCGAGCGCTGCCCACATCGAACACCTCGTCGTCCACGGCGCTGAACGCCAAGGAGCGGGCGGCACTGGTAGGTGCGCTCCCGCTGGCGCGGCTCCTGGGCGGCCTCACCTTTTGGTCCGCCCGGTCCGGAGTCGTCGCTGCACTTCGTGCACTCGGCACACTTGACCCCCAGGCAGTGGCGGAGACTCTTGTCCATGACGACCTCCTTCGCCTGCTGCAGATGGTGGCTGGTTCGTACAACGGGATCGGCTCTCCAGTCGACGCCCAGGAGCTGCAGGACGCGGCGGCCGCGGCGCTGCGGGTCTGGCTGGCTGGCGCCGCGCCGGAACCTCGCGCTGTGTTTGTCAAGAGCGTCTCCACGCTGGTGGTCGGCCACATGGGGCGGGCACAGGGTGCAGAAAAGGCAAAGTCCCTCCCGCCCACAAACATCAACCCGAACCGGCTGGCGTTTACGGTGCCCAAAGGCGGGCTTGGCGTGCGCCTCTCGTTCCCGCCCGGCCTCGCTGGCTCCTCGATAACCGTCCACAACCGCGACGGGAGCCAGACTACGGTCGCGTCCAGCGAGCCGGTCCTCATTCCCGCGTCTGCTGGCGACATGTACGTCAACATTCAACGTGCGTCTGCCGGGCTGCCTGTGGCTTGCCTCACGACGCTGCCGCTCTGCAACGAGCTCGCCACCCAGCCCACACTGGACATGGTGACCTGGGCGGTCGAGCTTGTCGGTGATGTTGTCGACGTCGACGCCACCTCCCGGATTGTCGCCGGCATGGCCGAGCTGGTGGTGGCTGGTGAGATGGCGCCTGCGCTGCGGCTGCGGATTCTGCGCGCGCTCAACTCGCTCCTGCGTGATGCAGATGTCGCAGGCTCGACTGCGGTGGCATCGTCGCTCCTCCGCTGGTTCCCGCACAAGAGCTGGCAAGCCCTCTTCAGCGCATTCATGGAGAGCGGAAAGGTGCGCGGCATCGACGGTGCAACGCAGATCCCAGACGTGCTGGGCATGGCCTCGCCGTTTGCGCGCGCGCTCTGCGAAGCCTTTGTCGCCCTCCGCAAGCTGCGGGCCAGAGTCAAAACCGGTGCACCTAACATGGACGTGCCCGACGTGACCGGGGCCGATGCCGCTGATGAGGCTCACACAGAGATGCTGGTCAGTGATGCGGCGAGGCCCAAGGCCGCTAGGAAGGTCCGCACCCACGACGTGAGCTCATTCAGCGTCTCGGCATTTGCGCCTACCACCACCATGGCCCGAGTCCAGGCCTCGTCTGCTAGGTTCTCGTCGCCGAGTCCAAGCCCGAGCCCGGTGCCCAGCCTCAGCCCGAGCGCTGGCGCCACGTCTGATGTTCTCGGCTGTGATCCAGAGCAGGCCGACTCGCCGAGCGCCACGCCCGAGTCGCCGGTTCTCGACTACTGGCTCGGTCTGTCCAAATCGGCCCCGCACGAGGGGCCTGTGATGTTTGACCAGCTTGTGCGGTGCGTGGCGCTGCTGGATGGGCTTGCGCGCGGGGACGAGCCTCCTGCTGAAGCGCTGGCTGCGGCGCGGGCGTCGTATGTCGAGGCAGCCAAGGATGACAAGCTCGACGTGGCGCTGCGAGTCGACGACACGCTCATGCAGATGGAGCCGGGACTAGTGGCCAAGCTGGCGAGTGGAGTGACCCGGCGTGCCAACGCGGGCTCGCTCCCGGGCTCGCGCTCGGTCTTTGTCAGCTCGTCGTCGACGACCGACGGTTACGCCATCGAGCTGGGCAAGGCGCTGGTGCTCCGGGCGGGGGCAAGTGGTGCGCGGCTCCGCATCGGCTCGATCACTATCGAGCCTGTGCGTGCGTCAGGCACTCCGGAGCTGCGGGAAGCGTTTCTGTACCTGGTCGACACCAGCGAGTGCGGCGATGACAGTCTGCCGGGTATCATTACTGAGCTGGAAAGTGCGGCGCAGCAAGGCATTTTGGGAGGGGCGATCCAGCGAATGGCCCCAGTCGTCTACGCTGAACGCTTCCAGGTCAACCAGAGCTCGCTGGTCGTCTCACTCCGGCGGCCGGTCACTGCCGACGTTGCGGTCGTCGTGGCGCGCACCGCGAGACTGGACAATACCTCGCTCGAGCTTGGAAGGACGCGAGTGGAGTCCGTGTGGATGGCCGGCCGGGCACTCAACGGGCATGGTACAGCGTCGTGTGCCGGGCTGGTGGGTGTGGGTGCGGCGGACGCAGCGGCTGCCATCAACGCGGTTGTCGCCAAGCACTACCCACACGCGACGTCAACCGAGTCGACGTCGGTCCTTGGCCCGACAACGACGGTGGTGGGCGAGCTCTGCGGACTCAACGTCGACCCGATCGAGGCGGTGGTCACTGCTGCCGAAGACGGGCTCGCGGTGGACTCGGACGCGGTGGTCTGGGTTCGGTTTGTCAATCTGGTCGCGCTCGCCGCCATGCAGCACTGCGACGTGGGCCGGGCCGGCGTCATTGCGCACGCGCTGGCGCGGATCAAGCCTCTTGTGCTGGCCGACGTGGCGAGTCGGCTGGTCGAGGCTGCGCTGCAGGTATCACAAAGCCAGACGGAGGCGCACGGGCGGCCGACGCTCACCTTTGACCGGATGAAGGCGGCAGCCGCGACGACGCTTGACGAGACCCTGTTTGGCCAGCTGGTGACGGCGCTCGTCGACTGTGGCCCAGAGCTGCTTGTGCGGCGCGAGCGAGCGTGGCGAGTCAAGTTTGTGGGCGAGGGCGCGTCAGACGCCGGTGGGCCGTACCGCGAGGTCTTTTCCGGTGCGTGCGCCGAGCTCATGTCCGCCAGCTCTGTAGTCTCACTCTTTGTGCCATGCGGCAACGCGGTGTCTGGTTTTGGCTCGAACCGCGAGGCGTTTGTGGTGGCGCCAGGCGCGGTAAGCGACGGAGAGACGCAGGCGCTGCGGGTCCTAGGCTGGCTCATGGGCCACGCGCTGCGGTCGGGCCTCACGCTTGACCTTCTCCTCACCTCTGTGTTCTGGAAGTATATGGTGGGCGAGGAGGTGGGGCGGGCAGACCTCGCGGCAATGGACCAGATGTGCTGCCAGTCGCTCGACGCTGTGCGCGAGATCGAGGCGCAGGGTGTGGGCCCGGAGACCTTTTCCGACGTCATCGACGACGTGTTCGAGGTCCATCTCTCGGACGGCACCGTCCGCGAGCTGGTGCCGGGTGGGGCAAGCATGCCGGTCACCTTTGAACGGCGGGCCGAGTGGGCCGACCTGGTCGAGGCTGCGCGGCTGCACGAGGGCGATGCCCAGCTCGCGGTCATCCGCGCAGGCCTCGGGAGTGTGGCCCCGCTCACGGCGCTGAGCCTTCTCGGAGCGGAGCAGCTCGAGCAGCGTGTGTGCGGCGTGCCGCACATCGACGTCGCCATCCTCAAGGCCTCGACGGTGTACTCGAGTCTGTCCGAGGCGGACGACGTCGTCCTCTGGCTCTGGCGTGCGCTAGAGAGCTTTGACGACGCCGAGCGCCGGCTATTCCTCAAGTTTGTTTGGGCCGGTCGCGGCTTCCGCCGCTGGTCCAGCGCCTCTCGACGCCGATGAAGGTCCAGCTCTTTATTCCGCGCGGGCATCGGGAGTGGTGACCGGTGGCGAGCACGACACCTTCCTCCCGGTCTCGCACACCTGCTGGTTCCAGCTCGACCTCCCTGCCTACTCGAGCTACGAGGTCCTCCGCGAGCGGCTCGAGTTTGCCATCCGGCACTGCGCCTCGATCGACACCGACTTTACCGTGTAGCGACGCTGACAGGCAAAAGCTTCAGCAGCAAAACTTGAGAACCCGCAAGCCGAGATACGAGAGAATGGCCACGGCCATGGCGCCGGCCATGATGACGTACGAGCCGGCCAGGGCGTTAAAGTCAAGCCGCTCCACAGTCAGCCGCTCCACAAGGCCCGAGTCAAGGTACGCCTTGCCAAAGTACTTGTTGTTGAGCTGGACAACCACGCCGGCGTCGAGTGCGTCGAGGATGGCGAGGTTGAGCGCGGCAGCGAGGCCTCGGACGCCGCGCGAGACGGCAAGCGCAAAGCGCTCCGAGGTCTGCAGATTGCCGAGGAGGCGAGCGTATCGCGCGCGGGCGTCATTGTTGATGAGGTACTCGAGGACAGCGGCGTCGTAGACCAAGGCCTTGGCGAGGCCATCGGTGAGCGCCTGTAGCGCCTCGTCGACGGTGGCGTAGATGAGGAGGCGTGAGGCGCGGACTCGCTCGAGAACAAAGGTTTCGGCGGTGGTATCGATGACAGTGGCGACGGCAATGTTGTGGAGGACTGAGAGCGTGGTCCCGGTCTGCGAGTCGAGCTGCTCGGCAGCAATAGTGGCGGTGAGCGAGGCTGTGTACGCGGCGACGAGGGCGACGGCGAACCAGGTGAAGCCGATCGAGTACAATCGTGCAGGCATGCCGATGAGGTCGTGCTCCTTGGTCTCGCTCACAATGGACCAAGCAAACCAGGTGCCCTCATTAACGCCCCGGATGAGCGAGAGTGGGAAGGCCTCGGGCTGGTACGTATGCTCCAGCGCCCAGAAGCAGACACCCGAGATGCCGATGATGACCACAACCGAGATCCAGAGACTCGGGGTAAAGGGCTGGAAGACAAGGCCAAAGTCGGGCACCGTCTCGCGGGCAGGGAGCATGATCTCAACACCCGAGTGAAAGTACGGATGGGTAAAGTCGCGGCTCTCAGCCCTCTGTCCGGTGATGGTGATGCCGCCGAGGCCGATGACAGCCTCCGAGTCCGACGCCGTCCGATTGAGCATCTCGCGCCATGAGCAGAGCTGACGGTCAAAGGTCACGTTCTGGACCGCCTGGTGCGAGACCATAGCGTCGACAAGATACTCCCACAGCTCTACATCGTATCCGTAGATGCCTTCCGCCACAGACGTCTCGCCGCCAGGGACGTCGACGAGGACAAACGGCGGCGTTGGCGCAAAGCAGACGGCCACCGTCTTGCTACCTGTGGCCGTAGGAAGCCTTGCTGCTGCTACCAGGGCAACGGCAAGTAGTATGAGGAGGTAGCTCGGGGGCATGGGGGCGCGGTGGCGCGGTGGCGTGGGGTGGAGTGGTGGCGTGGAGGCCTGGAGGCGGGCGGAGTTTGTCGGCGGCGAGGTTTTGCTCGCACTCGATTTTGGCGAGAAAAAGGCCGGGCAGGGTGATAAACTGGGCTGGGGCACAGGGGAGCGATTACGCCGGAAGAGGTCGAGGGAGAGGGCGATGGATGAGAGGGCGAGGTGAAGGGGTTGCAGAGGGAGTGGGGAGGGTTGGATTTGTCGGAGACGGGGGACGGGGGGAGGGGGGGGGAGGGGGACGTCGGAAATGGTGGCACTGATCGCGGGCCGGGGCAACACACATGATTGGAGGCAAAAGGCAGACATGGCGATAATGACGGAGCAACTGCGGTATGTAACGTGTTCTGCAAGAATGTGGAGAGGTGGGAGGTGGAACGATGGGGCTCAAGAGGCAGGATAAAGCCGACACGAAGGATTGGGGGAAGTTGGTGTGTGTGAGAATCAGTTTAATGATGTAGACTAGAGGGTCCACAACCAACCGAACGTCGGACGAAGCCCCCGACCGTAGGAAGGGACTGTCCGGGCCCGTCTGGCGCCAACTTACTCGTGAGCCTCGTCATACGCATGAAGCGCTTGGACTTGGGGCCTGGCCTTGGGTAGGGGTCAGGACGTGGATCGGACCGGCGTGAGCCGGGCCGATTAGAACAATTATGCCGCCCTGCACGGGTGCAGGGGTTAGTTATCCAGCCTTACGGCAGGGGGTCTCCGACCCGATAAGGTTGCATCGGATCTTGGGTGCAGGAGGAGGTCTTGTCCAGAAAGAGGGGGGAATGGGGGAAGGGGGCGAAAAAGGGGGTAAAATGGCGTGTTGGGGGGTAAAGAGATGGGCGTTGGAGATGGCGTTGAAGATGGCGTTGACAATGGACGAGACACAGCAGCGCTGTTGAGAGCTCCTGTGTTCCAGATCACGTGCTGGAGAGTTATTGCATGGAGTTAAGCAGAGAAGCACCTACAGGAACTGCAGGGTGCC